TAGTGACCAGACTAAGTCATCTGGAAGTTTCCATGTCTCGCAGGTCATTTAATTTGTTTATAAATAGATAAAGCCGTGATAAAGCAATCAGCTGACGAAATAGATACGACATGTAGCTGACGATGAGCAGTGTGTTATAAACAAAGCCAAGTTCACTCTGACAGCATCAGTTTATCATTATAACTCAGTTACAGTTCTGTGAAAACATCCAGACTTTGCAAAGCTTGTGTTACAAAACAATTCAGTTCTTTTGTTTGTTGTATCCAAGCTTTACCCAACTGTGTTTCTGTATTGCTCTGAAGGACGTGGGAAGAATATTCCTTCGTGGATTATTAACCAATATTTCACCAATACTGTTGCTGATCTCATATCAAGGATGTAGTAACAAGTTTGAAACATTATGGAAATTCAGTTCAACAGCTATGGCTTGTATCAGAAGCTCAATTCAATTATTTGATTTTAGTGTGTAGCTTATACAGAAATAAAATAAATTGTAGTGCATAGTGTCTGCTGAATCTGTATCGTTATCTTTCCTACATTGAGAATGACGAGGCAGACACTACATTTAGTGTGTGTGTGTGTGTGTGTGTGTGTGTGTGTGTGTGTGTGTGTGTGTGTGTGTGTGTGTGTGTGTGTGTGTGTGTGTGTGTGTGTGTGTGTGTGTGTGTGTGTGTGTGTCCAGGTTGATGAGAGTTGCTGCGCTCCTGCCAGATGGAACCGCATCTGGTCCAACTCCTTCCCCGAGGCCGAGGTAAACTCCTCTGATGTGTCACCTTGCGCTTCACAACTCTGCTGGGTTTCATATTCAGAGCCAGGCCTGCTGAACCTCGCTTCTTCAGTTATTTGACAGTTTGGTGATTCTGGTAGTAGTTTTTAATCATGCTGTCTCTGTCTCTTCTCTAGTTCTTTGACAAAGTGCTGATGCTCTCCCAGAGACTCTACAGTCTGCAGGTAATACTGTCATCTTTTAGATTGTTGCTTTTAAATTGTCTATTGTTTTTACTTGTACTTGTTTTATGGTGTGTGAGCTTTTTTTGTATGTTTGTTTATTTGACTGTACAGCTCTTTGGTCTGGAGCTTTTAAAGTCACTTTCCAGGATATTAACAAATGAACAGAGAAAGGAAAATGTCTGCAGATAAATTGCCGCCTTTTATTCATTATGTCAACTTTATTTAATCTTACTTTAACTTCTTATGTTTATATTGATATTATTTTTCTATTCGACTTTATATAATTTATATTTTTTAATTTATTGGTCATTTTAGTTTGACTTACGTTCATATAAAATCTAATATTTTATCTTTTTTTTTTTGCACATTCTTACTTTAACTTGTTGTTTTTATGTAAATATTAAACATTTCTTTATATTTTATTAAAAAATTTAGCAGTATTTCTAGTTTATTTTCTGCTCTCCAAACCCTTTAGAATGTCTGTCCTACTGTAAAAGCTCAAATGTCTCTAAAGACATTCCATAAATGCTCCCTAATGACCTGATGTTATTCCCTCCAGGCCATCATCGCGCAGCAGGACAGCCACATGGAGCTGCAGCGAGCCTCTCTGACGGAGCGCGCCTCTCTGCCCGGGCGCCACAGAGGGAACGTGCTGCTGGAGCAGGAGAAGCAGCGCACGCTCGCCCTGCAGAGGGAGGAGCTGGCCAGCTTCCACAAGCTGCAGTCTCAGCACCGGCAGGAGCAGCAGCGCTGGGAGAGGGAGCGGGAGAGGCACCGGCAGCAGGTGGAGGCCACCGAGGCCCGGCTGAGGCTCAGGGAGGAGGAGTGCCGACGGCTGGAGGTGAAGAGTCCCTCAGAGAGCTGGAGAGCACTTGTTAATGGAAAATGATACGTGAAGGAACTTGGAGCTCTGCTTTGATGTTTGAAATGCACAGTTCCAATAGGCGCTTTCACACCGCAGTACTTTTCCCACAAAGGTTCATGAGAACTTAGTTCATCAGAACTCTTTAGTTCTGATGAACTAAGTACAGATCGCGTTCACACCGGAATAAGTCCCTGAGGGAGGATTGGGCAAATGAAGCTGCTGACGTCACTTCTTCTTCTTCTGGTTTGGGTTTACTTGCAGGCCGCGAACAACTTCACGGCGTATACTTCCACCCGGAGTCCCCGGCCGGAAGTCCCCGGAGTTGGGGCCAGAACGCCGACACCTCCTCATCTCCACCGCTCCCATGTTTTATTTTGTGTTGCCATAAGTTAGTCTCTCTGCGTCTGTGCGCTGGGCTAATGCTAATGCTAATAATGCTAGGATAATAAAATGGTGGCTTCACAACACTTTTTTTTAGTTTTACGGGGCGTGGTTTGCAATCCGCCCAGCCAATCAGAAATATAGCTCTTTTCTCACAAGAGAGCCGCATGAGAGTCCCTGCTCTCTAGCAGGGATGGAAAAGGGGGTAAAAAGGTTCTCATGAACAAATTTTAGTTCCGGCTCTTTTTGGTGTGAACGCAACATTTCGGAACTATCGGAACTAAAGTGGGAAAAGTACTGCGGTGTGAACGCGCCTAATGTGTTCACTTTGATGGGCTGTCTTCTGAGTGGTTAAACATTGCTAATGGTGTTCCTCAAGGTTCTGTTTTAGGTCCACTTTTATTCTCCATATATATCAACAGTTAGGTGAAAATGTGAATGAAGCTAC